AAATCACTCTTTATGCAGTACTGAATCGAGTAACAGAACAGAATATGTTTCTGAGCGCTTTTCTCCGCCATACTAACTGAAAATAAATTAAAAGAGTAATTTGACTGCCTGGCAGAGTTTCCCGTGAGAAAGGGTACATATAATTCCAACAAAACTGGTTAAAATTGGTCGATATAAAATCAAGTACTGGAATGCTCCTTTCAAGTAAATAGATCATTCTAGTAGAGTGAACATTTTTAAACAAAATTCCAAGCTTTCTACTTAGTGGTTTACATATAAATATATTGTGCATCCGGACCATATAGTCTGAGAGAGAGAGTTGATCACCATATAGTCATCACGAGAGAAAACGACGATTGAGAATGAATATTAAGTATATCTTCCTAATTTATTAATATAATTAATTTGGCCGATCGTAACGATTATGGTAGTAGTATCTGCTAGCTAGGCAGATAATTGTTTAAGATGTTTCATCTAATGTCTCGTTTGTCCAGTGCGAGACAACGCTGGCCTCTGTTCAATGAATCTGCAGTTTTTAGTCTTGCGCTAACTAGGACGTTAGATGAGGCTCCACACATAGACAATATTATGCCAGAACGTTGCCATGTGTTCGATTCTACAACATGTTTGAGTAGACGAGCATCTCGCTTGATATTTTATTTTGATCGTTAGTTAAGATTTAAAAGAGAACTCATTGCGCTTGATTGCTTTTTCCGTTATGTTGCTAGACCATATTCATCAAGTTTTTATTGATAATCATCTTCTTCTCCGTTAAATTTGTCAGCTTGCTTTTCTCCGAAACTGCTATAATATAAATAAAGCGGAGAAAGATCTTTAACCTGTCACAGATAAAACAGGATTTTCCTTTTATAGTCTGAACGGAATATTCCTTTTTTTCTCACGAAACAGGCTTCACTCAACATCAGTTCTGCCACTATATTCACATGGAATAGATGTTCTGAAGCACACAACTGCTGAACAGAATCTCTCGAATAGTTGTCTGTACATAACATATGCTCAAAAGTTATATACCTTCTTCTTTTGTTTCTTTTCTTTAGGATCAACAGTAACACATAAACCAACATCGAAAACGTTAGGAATTAAGTTCAATATTTCAAAAGAAATAATTAACATAGTAGAACAATTATTATACAATATAACAACATCTCAAATTAGTTTATCGTCGAAAGCGCTAACGGATAGGGACATCGAAGTAATTAGTGATGCATTAAAAGTAAACCACACTCTAACTCAACTTTATTTGGGTGGGAACAAAATTGGTGATAATGGTGCTGAAGCATTAAGTAATGCATTAAAAGTAAATCAGACTCTAACTCAACTTTGTTTGGATGAGAGCAAAATTGGTGATATTGGTGATAATGGTGCTGAAGCATTAAGTGATGCATTAAAAGTAAATCAAAATCTAACTCAATTTTATTTGGATGTGGGCAAAATTGGTGATAGTGGTGCTCGAGCATTAAGTGATGCATTAAAAGTAAATCAGACTCTAACTCAACTTTGTTTGGATGAGAGCAAAATTGGTGATAATGGTGCTGAAGCATTAAGTAATGCATTAAAAGTAAATCAGACTCTAACTCAACTTTGTTTGGATGAGAGCAAAATTGGTGATAATGGTGCTGAAGCATTAAGTAATGCATTAAAAGTAAATCAGACTCTAACTCAACTTTGTTTGGGTGGGAACAAAATTGGTGATAGTGGTGCTCGAGCATTAAGTGATGCATTAAAAGTAAATCGAACTCTAACTCAACTTTATCTGGATGGGGGCAAAATTGGTGATAATGGTGCTCGAGCATTAAGTGATGCATTAAAAGTAAATCGAACTCTGGGTCAACTTTATTTAGGTAGGAACAAAATTAGTGATCAAGTAAAACAAGATATACAAAAGTCGCTAAAACACAATTTTTGTGTTATCTATTTATAGACTTGATTTATTTTTTCCAGCGGTGTATACTTATGACAATTAGCAAAACGTTTTATAGGTGAGGCCACGACCATCTTTTGATCGAACTTGATTTGACAGCTATATCTACATGCTAAATCTCGTAGTAATGTTTGTTTTTGGAACAAAATTGTAAAATCTAGTGAAAACCTATGTTACGTGAAATAACCTGTATTTGGCTATTTTCATCGAAAATGGAAAAATTCATAACTGTATGAATTTGTAAGCTTTTGATGAAAATCGCCAAATACGGGTTATTTCACTTAACATAGGTTTTCACTAGGTTTTGGAATTTTCTTCCAAAAACAAATATTGCTTCGAGATTCAACGTGGTCGATAACGTATGTTTCCATTTATGTTTGAATTTCGAAAGTGGAAAAATGAGGCATTGCTACGTGTTCCAACAAAACTGCTCCCCGAGCCGAATGATGATAGCTGGCGATCTGGGACTTGCACAGGTCCATAGAGGATTGCCCCGTGGTGCGATCACTCATGGGTTCTCAACAATATCATTTTGTTCATTGACTTCCTAGCCACTTTGTAGAAGATCTATGAAGTACATCACTTGAAGGTGGTAGATTTAGGCATATTTTCCATAGACTTATGTCCCTCGGTGTCTACTTCCAGAAACTGAAGATCACACATTTTTAGCTGGCTTCGTTCAACACTTATTCAAAAGACAGTGGCGTAATAAGTGAATTAATGAGTATCAGCCCATGTCTTCAGGACAAAAAGTCCGTATTTGGCTTGATAGCCTCTTACACATCATCAAACAAAGCAACTCTAGCGAGCCATTTTGAGCTCGCCGACATCTTTCGTTACAGTCGGCTATGAGAAACGAGTATTCCATTGATAACAACAAATATTTTCTTCTATGATAGATATGATTATATCCAAAAAGTTTCATTCTCTTGGTTGAGTTTTTAAACTCTCTGGTTTTATTAAAAAAGTTACAATATCTGACAGACTGTTACACAAAGCAGATGTGTCAAAAATCTACTTTATACGTACATGGACTGAAACGACAATTTCTTTTACTAGATCAGGACAATAATCTATTCCTGAAACAATCGTTGGTAAATGATTTATGTAAGTTTTTATACTGGTTGAAGCACGCGAGTTAAATAATGCTTGTAACGGTACATCAGGCACCTTTAGTAAATCTTGAAATTGCCAATGTATACATACGAATAGATAAATGCAGTACAACAAACAGGCAGATAGGCATTTGGTTTAACATTCATTATGGTACCACGTTATTTCCCATGTATAATTCTGTAATCGTTTGTCACATCAAAACCATTTTTAAAATTGATAAAATGAAGTTAAAGGAAATATTCGTTTTAACTTTATATCGTGTTAATCGTCTCTATTGTCTTGATAATGAAAATTACAATTTTCGAAACGTCGACTTTATTTTTATAAAAAAAGGTTTATTTTAAAAAAAAAATTTTTAATTTCGATTTTTATTAAATAAACATGAATCTAAAAACAGCTGCTGTTACTATTTTATCAATTTTAAAACTTCTACCCCTGAGCAGATATAATATTTCAAAACTATTTTTTCTTTCACCTCGTCTAATGTACAGCCCAATAAATCAAAAAACTTCAAGACACTGGTGAGTTGTTTCATTATTATATTGACAACTGTTTTCATTATTTCCAATTTCACAATTTGACTTTTGTTATTCAATCAAGTGGATTTAAAACAATTGCTCCATCGGAATTCCGGTTTTGAGAACTAAAATAACTAATAAAAGACGAATTAGTGTAAACAAGGTTTGACGAAAAAAACGTAGACAGTTATATCGTAAACCCACCAGATAATTTGTCGCGTGACATCAAAAATACTATTCTTTTTTTGCTTGAAGGATTTAGTCAGTTGCTCACATGGTTCAACTACAGCTCTGAATGATAGATAAGGCCCACCTACCGAAGAGAATGCTTTCATAATTCCATACGACGGATGCCAACTCTCTTTTTTCCCTTCGTACTTTTTGTCTTTAGGAAAATAAGTGTCCGCTGCAATTAGTTTTTCAGAATACATTGTCTTTTCATAAATATCAAAATCTTGGGCACTTGGAACCATACAAGTAAGGCGCTGCAAGTGCTGCACAGGTCGCGTGACTGAAAATATTGTGTAGATATGCTCACAGCCGTCTCGTTTTATTTTTGATTTGATGTAATGCATCTTAGATTTATATTTTATTGGTTTGTTCAAATTTTATCTAATACAAATACTTGTAGTGACATGTGTCTGCTTATAAAAAAAAACAGTTCCGTATTTAAGTTCCTCTCCTTTGTTTTCTTAATTTTTTCGAATACGTTCGTTCTTGTTGGTCAAATTTGTACAGAAATGTGATATCAGGTAGTGTGGTATCTGTATGTGGTGACTCAGGATGTTCATCTGCATCTAAAAGGTTTGGAGAAGAGTGTTATCTTTTGATTTGCGGTAAAATTTACGTTACATTACTCACTCGTTAATTGTTTATATGTTGCTAAGTTCATTTTTGGCAAATGCGAATATTGAAAACTCCGTATACCTATAATTGTGGACATTTTGGTTGTTTATCTTGCACCATAAGCAGGGTTTCAGCTCCTAAAGTTTACCGCAAATCAAAAAGGTAACACTATTCTTCAAATCTTTTAGATACAGATGATCAACCTGAACCACCACGTACAAATACCCCGAGTTACTCTCAACTTATTGGGATCCTCACTAAGTCTCTAATAAGAAGTGTTGCGCGCATTTCTCGTTTCTAAGAATGTCGATTCAGGCGCTTTTTGTCTTTTCGTCAGCGTTTTAGCTTTATCCTGTTACTTGATCACGATCGCCTTGCGACTGATCGTGTCATCATTTCATTTGTGAAGGATGCAGAGTGTTTTAATATTAAATGCTTCCATTTTCGTTAGTTATTTTAGTTTCCTAAAGTCTTATTTTAAAAACCTTCCTTCTTTGAACTATCTTAAGAGTCATCAACTTCAGAATGCAGTCTATCACCACTGTATCTTCTCTCCAGCTGTGAGAAAACCTCTGTTAATGCGTACCACTTTTCCTTTTGATTTATTGAAATATATGAAACGATTGGATTTATTTTCGTATATGACTCCAGTGGAAGGAATAATACCATCACGTAACGTTGATTTTCTTCGTCTGATAGATGAATGTATTAAAAGTTATCTACCTCAAACAAAAATTCAACTAGCACATGAATATGATTTTGGACAAATGGAAAATTATGAACATGATGATGAACGTGGTTATGTGAAACAACTTGAATCTGATCGTTTCTATTATGATCATATGGTGGTTGGATATGATCAAAGTGCTGTTGAAAGGCTTTGTGCATTTTACAATACGGACTTGTTTGAGTTGTATACACGTTATTCATCATTTTTATATAATCATAATTATCCAGTTGTTAGTGTTTATTCGTACCACTATTTATATAATATTCGGAAATAAAATTCTTACGATTAAATCTCGAAAAGAGACATTTCAGATTCAGATAATTCAATAAGATGTGACGATAGAATTCGTTAGGCGTTGCCATAGATCTCAAGTGTGTATCGTTGCTTTGACGGAAGGAGCTCTGTGGGAGAAAAATAAATTCCCCTCTGTCACCTACAATTATGAATCCCTTCCTAAAGCTAAAATAAGCGCAAAACAATGTTTGATCTATATTTCGAATTTCGATTCACTCAGTCGTAACCGTTGCTATGATGTACAAATTTAGAAAACCATTTCCCTACGTCTAAAGATGTGCCTTAAATAAACGAGACTCCAATCGTAACTAAAACCCGAAAGAATTTGTTAGCAGGGCAGAAGGTTATCTATGAGTGACCTTGAACCGGGTCTTTTCTCTGCTTTTGCCCCGCCAATATCAAACAAAAAACAAACAGTTTGTTTCTTTTTTCTTTTAAGACATCATATGAACCTAACGACGAGCAATGACCATAGTCTATATATATAAAGAAGAATGTTTGTCCGTTTGTCTGTTCTTTATGCATTTGGTCCCCGTAAAAACCAGCGTCACAAAACTTTGCATGGCATACTCTTTCGTCCAGGAGAAGGTCGAGACGGGGTCGACGCGACCGAGGGAGAGGTAGAAGAGGCTCACCCCGGTTTTCCAAAAAATACAGCAAATTTTCTCCGATTTTTGAAGTACTTTCCGCCTGCTTTTACCTCTTTGAGCCCCCCGGATGAAGGGTTGCTTTTCGATTCAAAATTTTTACCTGCGAGGTACTTAGTAGCCCTGTTGTTGGAACGCTACAGTAAGTGTCCCATCCAAAAAGTCTGAGCGTACAGTTGTTTTCGTAATAACCGGAGAACGAAAGCAGATAAAGACCTGAGCTTTTCGCAATTGCACACAGAAGATTCTAGGTATGGAAGTATGAACAAATTTGATTGATCAATTTGCTGATCAACCGGATTTTAGTATATTTTCATGGTCAGTAATATTCTTCTGATCAAGTTTTCAATGAAAATGTTTCAGAACGATAACAACATTTTACAAAGAAGTTTTCTTTAACCCTAAACTAACGTATAACTGATTCAAAGAGTTCACCAAAAGGATTTATCAGAGTTCATTCCTACTGACACGCCCTTTGAATTCAAGCCTCTGTAGTTTCCAGTGTGCTTGCCTTTGCGATGTCCATCAATAAAGCTCAAGGACAATCACTCAAGGCCGCTGGTATTAACCTAGAGACTTTTTGCTTTTCTCATGGTCAACTTTATGTAGCGTGTTCAAGAGTTGGAACTGATGAAAAGAATAAAAATATTTAAAAAACTTTAAAATGCGAAAAACAGAAAAAAAGTTGAAAAGGGAAAGTAATCCGAGCGTGTTTTGGAACATTCAAGATCGGTAACTCGTTTCCCAATATGTTAAGTATGCAAAATTGAATTTTCCCGGGCAACGCCAGGTACTTCAGCTAGTGTTTCATATTATATGACTTTTATTTTGTTATGCTATGTCAAGTATGTTATTTTATTTTACTTTTCCCTCAGGGAAATGTTAGAGAGGCTTATCTATATTGAGAAGAAACTTTTACCTTGAGCTGAAATATTAGTTTTTTGTAGAAATGTATTTTTGCTCTTCTTTCAAACTTCGTTTTCTTTGTGAGAATCAGCTCTCCTTTATTAACTAAGATACTGAGAATCATTAAGATTGATTAAATCTGATCGTTGTTTTGTGTGAGTAGTGAGCCTCTAACACTCGTTTCCTTAGTTGGATAGAGAAACTATGTATATATTTACCGATTAAAACAGTACCAACACGGTTTTCGACTTGACCTTGACTATTGCTATTCGAGTCTTCGCCAGCCAGACTGCTACAGTCGTTTGCATTGTAGGACATCGTAACACTTCGTACCAGTTAAGATTAGATTTCAACTGTCTAAAAAGATATATCGAATATTGACGAGAATGCTTTGACGAGGAATTTTCCAATTATATTGCATCACCGTCGTATCAGAAGCAGAATAGAATAGAAAATCGACTAGATTTTCAAGAGTCTTGAAAATCAATATTTTCTATAAAGTTGGAAAATCGGTGAGGATTTTCTATAAAACTGAAAATAATTCAAGATTACAGTGTAAGAATGACTACGTACTTGTTGCTTATTGCGCTAATATCTAGATAGGCTCTGTTCGATTTGTTGAAATACGAAGCGAGTGGTAACTGCTCCGCTGCCCGACGAAGATAGTTTTGGATAACTTGCTTCAGATACGACGGTGATGCAATATAATTGGAAAATCCCTCGTCAGATGTAATTCCACGCGTAGTTAAAAGTGTTTTGTAAGCAACATCTCTTATAAACATGTGCCAGGCCGTTGAGACGTCGTACGCTGGCAATTTTCTTTGTGTTTTCGTCTATTAACTGAGTTGCTCTGACACTCGCACAATATTTGGATGAACCCGCATAATCTGGTATAAATGTTTTCGGGCATACATCACCTTTGGCTGCACCATCATGACTCGACGCAACAAAAATTGTTTCACTCATGACACCCAATTTCATAAAGCGTGTCTCGCACATATAAACATATTTTGCGGCTTTTGGTCACGTTCTCTTTTGGTAAGTTTTTGCTACACCCTATTTTATTAACTTAGTTTAAGTTTCGATAAATAATGTTTTTTTTAGCCTTTAAGAAGAGATATGCTTGAGCACTGCTTTAACGAAGTATAACATGATATAGCAATGCATGGCAAGCAATGCATGAATAACGCGGACCGTTATCAAGTGCCCCTATTTCAGCAAAGAGAAAAATTCAGCAATGCAGCAGAAGGCCGTAAACGTTGTCAAACCATGCTTTGAAAGGGTAGTAGTTGCTTCAACAGTGCTGTGATAGATGAGATATGTGTAGTCCACCGATGCCCGATTATACTGCCTGTTCACTTATGCTCATCTCTCATTTCATTCATCGGATCTCACCCTCTCCGTCACCTCCACTTAGCGTACCGTAACGAGTTTCTGGTGCATGGATCCAACTTTGTAATTCCACTGTCAGCATTATTATCATCGATTTGTCCATTTAACTGCCGAATCAGATAATTTACCATCTCAAAACAAGCTTAAACTTTCTGTTTTTCTAAAGTTTTGTCATCTTTTCTTCTTCACGGGTAAAAACGAAAATATGCAGATTCAATGTCCAAACATGGGAAAAGAGTTCCGAATTCACCTGACCGACAGTTTATACAAGTTTCTCTTTCTCTAAAGTTTTGTCATCTTTTCTTCTTCACGGGTAAAAACGAAAATATGCAGATTCAATGTCGTAATATGGGAAAAGAGTTCCGAATTCACCTGACCGACAGTTTATAAAACTTTCTGTTTTTCCAAAGTTTTGTCATCTTTTCCGCCTATCTGTTGTGTTTACTGAGTTCTCTCAGATGAGCTTCTTCCATACTGAATTCGAAAACGTATGTTTAAGCTTGTTTTGAGATGGTAAATTATCTGATTCGGCAGTTAAATGGACAAATCGATGATAATAATGCTGACAGTGGAATTACAAAGTTAGATCCATGCACCAGAAACTCGTTACGGTACGCTAAGTGGAGGTGACGG